AGGGGTCTCAATTCATAACTGCACAGCAGGTGTAACCAGGCCAGTGGTGTCCTGGTAGTTGTCACTGCTCAAGGCTCTCTTTTTTCTTTTTTATTGAAATATAGTTGATATACAACATTATATTAGTTTCAGGTGAATAATATAATGAATTGATATATGTATATATTTAGAAATGGTCATCACAGTAAGTCTAGTTAACATCCATCACCTCACATAGTTACAAAATTTTTTTCTTTGGAGATTTACTCTCTTAGCAACTTTCAAATATACAATACAATATTGTTAACTTTAGTCACCATGTGGTACATTACATCCCAGGACTTATTTATTTTATAACTGGAAGTTTGTACCTTTTGACCCCCTTCTCATTTCAGCCACCCCCAAACCCCTCCCTCTGGCAACCACTAATCTGTCCTCTGTATCTCTGAGCTCAGGTTTTTTTTCTTTTTAGATTCCACATATAAGTGAGATCATATAATATTTATCTTTCCTCGACTAGTTTATTTCACTTAGCATAATAACCTCTAAGTACACCCATGTTGTTGCAAATGGCAAGATTTCTTTCTTTTTTTTATGACCGAGTAATATTCCATTGCATACATGTATCACATCTTCTTAATCCATTCATCTATTGATGGGCACTTGGGTTGCATCCATATGTTGGCTATTGTAAATAATGTTGCAATCAACGTAGGGGTGCACATCTCTCTTCATATTAGTGTTTTTGATTCCTTTGGATATATACCCAGAAGTAGGGTTGCTGGGTCATCTGGTAGTTCCATTTAAAATTTTTTTAGGAAACTCCATACTGTTTTCCATTGCGGCTGCACCATTTTACAATTCCACCAACAGTGCACAAGGGTTCCCTTTTCTCCACATCCTCACCAACACCTGTTGTTTATTGACTTTTTTATTACAGCCATTCTGACAGATGTGAGGTGATATCTCTGTGGTTTTGATTTGCTTTTCTCTGATAATTAGTGACGTTGAACATCGCATGTATCTGTTGACCATCTGTGTGTTCTCTTTGGAAAAATATCTATTTAGTTCCTCTGCCCATTTTTTAAATTGCATTGTTTTGGTTTTGGGCTATTGAGTTGTGTAAGTTCTTTATAAATTTTGGATATCAGTCACTTATCAGATGTATAATTTATAAATATGTCTCCCATTCAATAGGCTGCCTTTTCATTTTGTTGATGGTTTCCCAACACTCTTTAATATGCAGGTCCCCCTCCCTCTTTTGTTCCTTTTGGAATGAAATGCCTGCTGAGTTTCCTACATTCTGTATGTTGTTGGTCCTGTCCTCATAGTACTTTTGAATGTGTTCTCCATACCTATGTTAACAGTAAATTGGCTAAATCAGATTCCAGTTGGGTTTTGGACTAGCCTCTTCTCTTCTTGGCTCCAGGGAGGCCACTGCTCCCTTTGTCAGTCTCTACACTTAGACTTCTCCCTTAAAAAGTTGTTTTTCCCACCTTTTACTTGGTATGTCTCCACACACTTCCCTCAACAATTTCATTGAACCACCCTCTATATGCTAATAATTTGAAAATCTTTACCTTCTACCAACACCTCTCTTGGCTCCAGATCATCTTCCATCCCGTCATCATAAGGATCCACTAACATTCTGTCTGATCAGGTCACTTCACTCTCTAACACTCTGCCCATCACCTTCAGGGTTAAATCCAAGTTTTTTGCTATGAACAAGACCCTTGCTGGTCCAGCCTCCACAGTCACCCCAGCCCCATCTTGTCTTCTTTATGTGCTGCAGCCCTAACTCTGATGTGGGCCCTTGACTCTCAGCTTTGGCCTCTACCCTACCTGCCCTTTTTCCTTTCTTCCTCTGGACAGATGTACCCAGGAGCCACATTTGCCAGGAAGCCTCCCCTGGCTGCCACGCAGGGTCAGCTGTCTAAGTGTTCCTTTGTGCATTTATCCCTCAGATGAGTCCCTGGATAGTGGATATGTTTTGTAGACACCACACTGCCCAAAATGTCATTGGCAACATGGATGTTTGTGGAATAAATGTTGAAAGTGATTGAAGATTTTAGGAATTCCCTTCGAATGTTTAGTTAGGGTCTTATATTAACCTCCAGGTATGAAGGACGAAATACCATCATCAGCTCACCATCTCTCTCTCTGAGGCCCAAAGTGTTTTTGAGAACATGGGGAAAAAGCAGATTAAATTCAATATTGACTTGAATTGGACCTTAAATATTGTGGGTCTTCACTGAGTTGATATGGTTTTGGGAAGGGGCACCCTGAGCAGAGCTTAGCTGCAGCCCATGCAGGGCACATCCCGCTGTGGGGTGACTGAGGTAGGCTGAATGGAAGGGAAGACGGTGAAGAGGTGTGGGGAAGGTACCAGGAAGGACCATGTGCAGGCCTCTGAAGGCAAAGCAGAGGACTTGATGTGAACCGCCAACAAGAGGGGGCCTGAGGGAGCCTGTGCCTCAGAACCCCAGTTGGGTAGGAAAGAGGCATTGCAGAGGAGGTGGGAAGGTGGGAAAGGTAGGAGTGGACAGCTTTTTCAGTCCTCAAAAGGATAGAGTTCACTGTGTTACAAAAGCCTGGATGGAACAGCAATGATGAGAAGCTTAAAGTCTAATTTCAACCATTTGAGTGCATGTTGGAATGTGAAGGAGTGGACTCTGTAAATGTAAGGGTCTTGGTGGCAGAGACACTTGCATTTTGCAGGCAGCCCCCACTGCACCCTCTTGTTTGCACATAACAGATTTATTAGCGTTCACTCCCCGTAGTGAGGAAGTTAGGGGACCATACCTGTGTGTACACCACCAGCAGGGTTGCCTGTGCCTGAGGCCTCTTTGCTCCCCCATTGTTACCCTCATCCTTCTGGTCACCCTGAATGGGAGCTTTGGAATCCCTGATGACGCAAACAGAAAATGTGGCCTCTTGGCTTTAGAGGCTTTAGAATGCTCTAGTGGCCAGGTCGGGTGTGGTCCTCCAGTTGAACTGTCACCCATCCTCTTCAGGGCATCCTGCCAGCACCTGCCCTCCCTCAAGTCCTCTCCTCCTGCATGAACCAGGTATCACCCACCTCTGGGACGTGGATGCCCACACAGTGCCTCCCTTAAGGCAAAACTATCTTAGCTCTTTCCACTGTGTAAATGGCACATAGTTGGCATTGAGTAAATTTGTCTTTGCATGAAGATACCATTTCTAGACTCTTCTCTGCCTAGCCATCCTGGCCATCAGTGTCTGAAGATGTTCGGCCCAAGAAGGACTCACATACCCTCCTTACCCGTCCAGGGCCATCCACCCTCTTCAGGCCACTCAGAGTTAACACTTGCCTCAATGGCATGGTCTCCCCCACAAAGAACATCCTTGAATCCTGTCACTCCCTCCCTGACCCCATCACTTGCCCAGCCGCAGCATCCACTTCACTCATTCCGTAAGAGCCTCAGCTGTCCCTCACGTGCTCCACCTCTCCCATTCCCTGCTACTCCTGTCCCCCTTGTCCACTTTTACTAGACAGTCCCAACATACTTCTTAACTGGAAACCTCTCAACCTGGTTGATGCATTTTAATCAGCAGTGAAGACTAGTCCACAGAGCCAGTCACTTGAAGGACCTATGACTTATGCAAGCCACAGGGGTCAGGGTAGCCTTGGCCAGGCGCTTCTTGGGGCACCTGCTGTGCTGCAGCCTCACTGCTGCCAGGAGCGCTCAATAAAAGGAATGGAGGAGAAACCATACATACCTCAAGTTCTAGGGTTCAGAAACCTTTACGCACCTATCATTTTTTCCAGGCTCCCATTGGGCAGCACTTTGGGGGCCTTCCTGGACTGGCACCAGGCAGGTCTGCAAATGTGTGTGTGTTGCTTGAGAGGTTGGAGAAATCAAATATGTGATTCTGAGATTTTAGGGTCCCTAGCACTCAGCTCCAGAAGAAAGAAGAACATTCATGAGATGATTATACAAGTTTTAAATGGGCAGGTTAATGGAAATGAGAACTTGGAGTCATGGCGATCCTGTGAGAAATGGGGACAATCCTACCCTCTGAAAAGGGACATTAGGGAGGAGTCCTAGTTCCCCATGAATGACTTCCTTGCTTTGGGGAGGGAGTGGTAGAAGGTAGAGAGGGGCCTGGAGTTTCTCTTGTTCCCCCCAGGGAGCCATAGGGCCCAGCAAGCGCCAGACCCTTCACAGTGTGGCAGTAGGCTGTTTGTAGGTGTTTGACACTTGGTTCTTGGCATCTGACCTGAAAGTAGGGAGGGCTGGTAAGGATGAAAATGACCAAATTGAAACCTCCATGCACTTTTCGAATGTCCCAGACTGACCAGGTCTGCTGTACCCTGGTGTGACTTCAGCTCCTTCACAGAGGAGGGCACATGGACCCTGACAGATAGACACAGGGCTCACCTTGTGGCCTTCTGGACAAGCGTCTCAAAGCTGCCTTTGCTCACGGCTGTTTCAGCGGCCAGGTGATCGGTGTCTGCATGGCCTGACGCCCAGGCCAGCTAGCCCCATGCAGAGTTGCCTGTCCTGGGCCCTGGCAGTGTGGCCGTTTTCTGAGACTGCAGAGCCTGGTGGGCTGGAGCAAAGGCGGTTCTGCTCCGGGGTGGCCCATCACAGCTGGAGTTGGGACCCTGGCACAGGGAGGATGTCTGATTACACTCCAGTAGCTATGTGGTCACCTGTCGGTGCATGTACACAGTATAGAGGTGTTATTTTCTAGGGGCACTAGTGCAGAGTCTGAAAGCGTTTTAGGGAATGGCCTGCGGCCAGCTGTAAACTCTGTCTTTGCCGTCTGTAGACCCGGGTCTCGCATAGACGCTACCTGGGGTAAAGTGTCCGGTCAACCTTCTTGCTCCATGTGAGCAATAACCTCAACACTTCCTAGCACACCTTAGGCCACCCACTCTACAGATGGTGCCCCCTCCACCTGAAGCTGCACTGACGCCCGTTGGGCCCTCTGACCCCACGCGCAGTACCTGAGCTCACTGATTCCCGCACACTCTCGGGCACGCACCACCGGAGCTTGCACAGACCCGTCGCGCACCGCCCGAACCCTCCGAGCCAGGGGACTCTGACGCGGTGTACACTGACCCCTCACGCGCTGCCCCCTCCCTCACTGACCCCGAAGGCACTGGCCAAGCTTGCAGTGATCCCGCCTCTCCCCACAGGCTGTCCTACGACCCCACTCGCTACCCTCGGCTCCTACCGGAGGCTTACTGCCTGTGCCGCGGCTGCCTGACCGGGCCGCGCGGGGAGGAGGACCTGAGCCTTCGCAGTGCGCCCGTGTTGCTGCCCACGGTAGTGCTGCGCCGCACCCCTGGATGCGCCGGGGGCCGCTCGGTCTACGCTGAGGAGTACGTGGCAGTGCCTGTGGGCTGTACCTGTGTCCCTGCGCTGGACCACGACACACCAGCTGCCCCCGGAGCAGACCGCGATGGAAAAGAGCGGAGCCGTGACCCGGCCCACCAGGAGCGGGACCGGGAGCTGCGCAGGCCTTTCCGTCCGGGAGCAGGACAGTGACTCAGCAGGTCTTGCCCACGGGGCCACCCACAGGGGAACCTCTCCGGTGGCCCCGGCTTCTAGGCGTAAGTCAGTGTACAGTTGGCCCTAGTGTAGCGAGACCAGCCGCTGGAACAGGACAAGTCATCAAAGCCCCTTAGCCTCTGCACGTAGGTAGGTGGTAGACGCTTTTTAAAACATCTTTTTATAAGAATATATACCTACTTGTTTTCAATAGGGGCAGGAACTATTTTTATATTAGCGATTTTGAACAATTAAATTTTTACTTGCATATATACACTTTATAAATCTTATTTTCACTTCCTCTGCTAGATTTTAGCAGAGTTGGAATCCTCAGATAAACTCTTTTAAGCAGGCACTGTGGCCTGAGTCTCTAAAGCCAGGTTCAACCCTGTCAATCTGGTTGTGCCAGCAATGGGGACAGGGTTGAACCTGACATGCCCACCGTCTGGTGACAGTCCCCAGGGGCTGCTACAGAGATAAAAGGGAAGTGTAGTAGGCTCAGGTAACCCCAGAGCCATCCCAGAAATCCTAAACTTAGGTTTACTAGTATATGGATGGCTGCAGGTATACTGAATTAAAAATATTTTTTTTTTACTTTTCAAAGTCAGTGGGGCCAATTTGTGGGTAAGAGGTGGTGAGATAACAGCAGCAGGTGAAATGTGGCATCTTTGCCAACTCTCAAAAAGAACCTAACTCTAGGCTGTTTTAAGGGCTTCCGGAACTAGCCACATGAGGGGAAAGTGAGCTAACTTCCCATTTCCAGGAAGCAGTATCAAGCCTCTTTTTCTACATGTTGCAATGTGAACTGAATCCTTTCTTTAGGCTGGAAGTCTGTCCCTGAACACAATGATTCGTAAAAGTGAGTTCTTTTTAAGTCATTAAAATGGTTGTTGGTGAAAGTATATTGCTTATGTGTATTTCTCTCTCATGGGCTCAATTGAGTTTTAGACTTTATCTTAACTTTATGGTGGAAGTTTAAGAAATGATTTGGTCTTCGATCAAGTAGCCATGTAAAGTCAATCTCTCTGCTCTTCTGTGCCACCCCAGCCAAGCCAAGAAGTGCCCTTCATGTGATTCACTCCCAAGCTTCAGCTGCCATAGAAATAAACAGCTTTGGCTGCCTGAGTCACCATCAGCCTTTGTTTGATCTGGACGCAAGGATCACTGAGAGGACTTTCAACTTTACTGTTGACAGAGTTGTGCATGAAAACAAACTGCTGAACAGAATCTGTATTTTCCAAGTAGCTGTGGATAGTTTGGGATTTTTTTTTTTTTAAAGTAGCCCCAGTAGTGGTATTTGAGAGTGTGTTGTCCAGAAACAGAAAGTTCAGAGCAACTTTTTGTTGCCAGTTCAGAAAAACAAAAATCCATTGCCATGGGGTACTTCAGTTAGAGTGTTGTCCTAATACGCCAAGGTTGTGGGTTTGATCCCCAGTCAAGGCACATACAAGACACCACCAATGAATGCATAAATAAGTGGAACAATAAATCAATGTTTCTCTCCCCATCCTTTCTCTCTAAAAATCCATCAGTAAATTTTTTTTAAAATCCATAATTAAAAAGGAAATTGTCTTTCAAACCAGTGATTTGGGTAGTTTCAGTCATCACCACTGTTGTGCATCATCTTCTAGCCATTCCTCAGATATAAATAGTGTAAACTAGAGTAGATATGAACAAACTCTCTTTCTGGTGGAAATGTCACTATTTTATTCATTGTATTATTGTTTTAGTTTGTTAAAAGGTAGCACATTCCCAGTGGAAGAAACTGGCTTTCCATTCTAAGATCTATAAAGGCAACCTTTTTTTGTGCTTTTTCTCTGAATGGCACATTCATCCACTTAACCATTTATTGAGCACTTGCCCTGTTCAAGGTGCTGAGCTCCTGGAACCAACTGTGAACCACACCAACTCCATGCTCAGCTGAAAGTGGAAACTGCATTGGCTGTCAGTGCCTCGGGCATCTCAGGCCTCTGCTCACCTCATGTGCTGCCCATGAATAGGAGCTAGTTTGCGCACCTATAAAATGAGGTGGTGCCATCCACATCACAGGTATCATGAGGGTTGAACACCATTGTGAAGCACCTGGCACAGTGTCTGCCTGCACACGGCAGGTAGCCAAACACATTAGACAAAATACATTTTTATATGAGTTAAGCTTTGCCCATTCCCTCCTCTACCCCTTTGGAGAAATAAGGTTTCTTTCATCTTAAATGCTAGATTTACAGACCAACTAAAATTCTTTTCTTTTTAGGCTGCTACCTGCCCACAATTCCTAAATTGTTCTTTACATTTCTATGCATGATTTGGTATAATATGTTTTACCTCCTTAGGTAATTTTTAGCAAAGTGCTTCTTAAGGAAATAATATGGTAAGGATTATTTTTTAAAAGGACAAACATTTAGCTCAGGGGGTGTGGCTCAGTGGTTGAGCACCGACCCATAAACTAGGAGGTGTGATTCCTGGTCAGGATACATGCCTGGGTTGCTGGCTCAATCCCCAGTAAGGGTGTGCAGGAGGTGGCTAATCGATGATTTTCTCTCGTCACTGACGTTTCAATCTCTCTCTCCCTCTCCCTTTCAAATCAAAAAAAAACATTTAAAAAAATTTACTGAATACTTAACATCTCAGGTGCTGATACACTGATAAAAATATAAATGTCTCAAAAATACAGTGATCTTTTAAGTAAATTTCAAATTACCTGAAAGTGTGACAACTGAGTTCTGAGAAACAAGCACGAGCAGCCCAGCATTCGCGGAGCACCAGCTACCATGCGGCTCTCCAAGACAAACCGTTTTGCTACAGTAAAAGCAATCCTAGTCTCTGATTTTCAACCTCAGAGGTTTACTTCTCACTCCCCCTGATGTCCAGTGCAGGCCAGCTGCAGCTGCGGTCCACTCGGGGGCCTAGACAGCCCAAGAAGCTTGTCTGGAATACTGCTGGTCATAGTGTCAGAGGGAAAATGAGGTTCTAACTAGAAGTGGCACATGTTACTTCCTTCATGTGTTGTTAGCCAAAGCAAGACAAATAAGATGGGGAAGTATACAAATCCTTTCCCAGAGAAAAGTTATTTTTAAAGTTTTTACTTTGAAATGTAGATTTACAGAAAATTGCAAAAATACTAGAGCGGTCTTGTGTGTCCTTCACCCAGTCTCCCCCAATCATGACATCTTAAGTAATTGCAATGTCACAACCAGGAGTGGACATAGGCACCGCCCAAGACCCCACTCAGTTTACCAGTTGTGCACACGTGCATTTGTATGTGTGTTTAGCTCTGTGTAATGCTGTCACGTGTGTAGACTTGTGTCACCACTGCACAATCAAGATTCAGAACAGTCCTAGCACCACAAAGACACCACCCCCACCCCAGCCTCTGCCAACCACTGACCTGTTCTCCACTGCACAACATTCTTACATAAATGGAAATGCAATGTGTGACCTTTGGGACTGGCTTCTTCACCCTTGAAACCATCCAAGTTGCAGGGATCCACAATCAGTTCCTTTGCATTGCTGAGGAGTTTCTATGCTGTGGACGTAGGGGAAATATTTTTTGAATAATAGAAACTGGCACTTCCTTCATGTCCTGTTTGCTTCAGTGTTTGGTTTATAGACAGCACTCATTTTCTCAAGCAGCTTGGAGAGTTTGCTGTGGCCCTAGGTAGGATGCTTTCTCCAAGAACTAGGAGAGAAGAAAACATCCAGGAGGCCCTAGGACACTGGTTCCTGAGACAAGTTGTGTCTGCTTAAGGGGCCTGGGTAGAGGAGGGGCTCCTCACAAGTCCTACAACCCTCCCGGAGAGCTGCGGGAAGAATCAGCAGTCCACAGGCAGTGTCAGAATGAGCCCATTTTAGGGGGATGTAGGATCCAAGGCAGAGGCTAACGTTCTGTCCAATTTGGGTACTGACCAAGACACTAAGCTGTTTGCACTTCTGTTTTTACCTATGTTAAGTGAGGAGAGTAGGTTAGATGGATTGAAAGATTTCTTCCAACTACAATTCCACAGATTCAAGTTGGAAAGAATCTCAAGGTCCAGTAAGGAGCTATGTCCTCATTTGGGGAATCAGGTCAGGGAGAGCCCAGTGTGGGAGAGGGGAGAAGGGCACAGATTTACAACCTACTAAGAAAATAAAGAGGCAAATGTCACACAGGGTCCTTTCCTGCTTTATACACTGTCTGCATTTACACATCATAGTTTAGCCCAGAGTCATAATTCACGTAACAGCGAAACTCATTCGCCAAGGTCCGGGTGTGCTTTGGAATAAACTTGCACATCTTCACTTCAAGAAGTTTTGCTGCCTCTTCCTCCATGACGGCGCCTGAAGAGAACAGACCAGATGAACCTGAGGACAAATACAACCGTGTACCCTGGGCCCTGGTGCAACGTGACAATACCACTCAGCAAATGAGGATGGAGGTCAGTTCTTCAAGTTCTTTTTTACATTCTCCAACATTTTTGAAAAAATTACTTTCTTCCTTTTCCTATTTAATAAATAGTTTTCCTGTCTCTGCAAAGCTAAGACCCTGCAAGCTTTAGAAATAGCCGGGCTAGGTGTGGCTCAGCGGCTGAGTGTCGTCCTAGGATCCAGGCAATCGGGGATCGATTCTCCATCAGGACACATGCCCGGGTTGCAGGCTCGATCCCCAGTCGGGGGCGTGCAGGAGGCAGCTGATCAATGACTCATCATTGATGTTTCTATCTCTCTCTCCCTCTCCTTTCCTCTCTCTGAAATCAATAAAGATATATTAAAAAAAAAAAAAAAATAGATTATATCCCACTAACGTAAGGAAAGCAAAAATAATTAAAAACTGGTGTTGCCCTGGCCGGGTAGCTCAGTTAGTTGGAGCATCATCCCATACACCAAAAGGTTGCGGGTTTGATTCCCAGTCAAGACACATACCTAGGTTGCAGGTTCAATCACCAGCCAGGACCATACAGGGTACAACCGTTTCTTTCTCTCTCCCCAGGCCTTTTCTCTCTCCCTAAAATCAATAAAAACATATCCTTGGAGGAGGATTAAAAAAATAATAAATATTATAATGCCTTAAAAAAAAAGAAAAAAATCAGGTGTTTCCGTTTTGATCAAGAACCCCCTTTTCAGCCCAGCCAGCATGGTTCAGTGGTTGAACATCACCCTATGGTCCAGAAGATCATGGTTCAATTACTGGTCAGGGCACATGCCTGAGTTTCGGGCTTGATCCCCAGTAGGGGGCATGCAGGAGGCTGCTGATCAATGACTCTTTTGTCACTGGTTTCTCTCTCTCTCCACCTCTCTCTCTGAAATCAATAAAGTCATAAAACAAAACAACAACAAAAAGCCCTTTTCAGTAATATCCAATCTTGCAAACTCATAGGAATATATTCACACCAACCTTTGGATGACTCTGTCCTCACCCCACTGCCTGTCCTGCATTGCCCACCACTGTGGACATCACCCCAGATGCCGTCAAGAACCTGTCCCTTGATGCCCATAGCAGCAAGTGCTGCACAGACAGGAACCGAGGACTCATCCTGATTCTACCTTCTTCTCATTTCCCACATGCAGAACATAGCACATTCTTTCAGCTTCATCTCCAAGTGTATCTTTACTCCCCTCTCTGCTCTCCTGTGCTACCACCCAACCTTGTCCAGAGCTACGTCCACTCACCTCCATAAGTCCCTTTTGGTATAAAGTTAAAGCAAACTTCTTTAGGGATCCTGTTCCTTTAGGACTGGACACTTTAAAAGAAAATGGCAACTCTGACTGGCACCTGTATGGGACCCTCTCATCTGACTCCCTTTGAGGCCACTTCTGCAATGCTGCTCAGCCCCAGAGAACACTCGGATCTGAAGTACAGCGCCCTGACTCTATGTCAGCCCGTCTTTCTCTGATCTTTCATATACTTAACAAAATTAGGAATTCCTTTCTTATGTCTGTTGTTACCCTTTTTAACATATCCCCTAAAACTAAATGTACGCTCCATGAGGTCAGGCACCTGTCAGCTGGCACAAAGGACTAGTCACAGCTATGAATTAATAAGTAAATACTATTTGTGTGAACAAGAGTCATGTTCTTGACTAAGTATATAACTCAACGAGAACAGCTCCACCGCTCAGCTCAGAGTGCTTTGGGCAGAAGCCTGGCCACAGGCTAGGTATAGGAGCAGGGGACCACACCTCAGGGCCTGGACACCAGGCTGCCCAGAGAGGTAGTTATCATTTTAGTTCTGGGTGAAATTTCAGCACATCCACCTTAAGAAAACAGTGTATCTCAATCTCACCAGAAAGAACACTGTTCTGCTATAACAAACCTGATCTAATGCCTAGCTTGTAACCTCAGGCAACCCACGTTAACTCCACAGATTCGACATCAAGTGCACAGGCCGCGTCAACGACTGATGACAACAATGACGAGTATGCTCCCCATGTGTGACCCACCTGATGTGTCAGGCACTCGGTCCTCACAACCCTGCGGCGTTACCAGCCCCATTTTTACAGATGAGGAAATAGGGACATAGAAAGCTTACATAACATGTTTAAGGTCACACAATAAGTGGTGGATTCAGGATCTTAGTTTTAAGATCTCTTTCAACTCTTGACACCTGAGGCTTGAATATCCCCCTTTATCAACCCTTGTGAGATGGCAGCCTGGCACCTACCTGTGCACAGCAGAATCTTGTCTTGAGTCAGGTACTTGATGGTTTCTGAGGTTTTCCTGAGACATTCCTCAGAAAGATAGGGGGGATCTGCTATGACAATGTCAAAACTATGAGGGACAATGTTTACAGGGAAGTTCAGTGGATTATTGTAATCATAGAAGATAAACTCCTCTCCATAAATGGCAAATCTTCTGTCGTACTCAAAGATGTATACAGCCACGTCTTCTCTGTGCAGCTCTCTGAGTTTCTGGTAAACACTGGGGGTGCTCACACAGGCTATCCTGGAAAACAAAGTGAGTATGTGCATGAAGAGCTCTGGTAGACAGCTTCTAGCGTTAGACAACAACTGCACTAAAAACCAGAGGTCCTGTGCTCAGATATTCCTAAAGGAAATAACAGTGCAGCTAACATGACAGCAGTAAAGTATGAGAGAAAACTAACTGCCACACTTTTAAGGAAACTGGTATTTAAAAATTTGAAACTCATATTTTTAAGTATAAAAGGGATAAATGTGCTTTTTATAGTACAAAATGTAAGACATTAGGAACATATAAGGGCCAAGTTAGGTAGCCCAAAGTCTAAATTTGACCATTATTTTCATGTTTCCTTAACATTTATGTCAAATACTTTTAATCTCAAACTAAATATTTCGGAGTTACTTTGTAATATTCATAATCTTGAAAGAAAAACTCCAAATAACTGCTTCAGTAACTCCAGTTTTCCAAAATAATAGATTAAAATTAGGTCTCAGTGCAGAAAAGCTACTTTGAATTTCTGCTGCTTTTTTGTATAAGGAAATTATTACCAACAGCCTACAATTTATGAATGGGTAGGTAATGTTCCAATAGTTAACTCTTGTTTGTTTGTTTGTTAATCCTCACCCAAGGATACTTTTACACTGATTTTTAGAGAGAGTAGAAGGGAGGGAGGGGGAGAGAAAGACAAAGAGAGAAAGACATCAATGTGAGAGAGACCCATCGATTGGTTGCCTCACCCCAACCAGGGACTGAACCTGCTACTCAGGTATGTGCCCTTGACCAGGAATTGAACCCTCAACTCTTCTGTGCATTGGCTGATGCTCTAACCACGGAGCAACACTGGCCAGGGCACAACAGTTAACTTTTAATACAAATATATTTTATTTGAAATAAACAAAAATGCTTACACAGCTCAACAGGTCATTGGGAAACAAACTCTTGCTTAACTGGATTACTGAGCAAAAACAAAGCTGAAGCACAAACACCCTTCTTTTTTGACATGTATATGCAGTAGGTAGGAAGACACTACTTGGTTTTTTAAAAACTGACCTTCCATTAAGGCGTGGTCATGGAAGTGTAAACAATGTAAATGAATCCACACTTCAGTTGTCATATCGTATCTATGTCACCAGTGTATTCTGCCATCGCACATATACCTGCCAATATACCTGGGAAGGGTTGCTAAATCACAGTTACATTTAAGTTCTTGGCAGACAGGGCTGAAGAAAAGTAATATGGAACAAATTTTACACCCTATTAGAACAAATCACTAGTATTCCCTTAAATAACAGGTTACAATAGAAAGATACTGCCTGGAAGTTATCCTTTTCACTTTGGTTCATTTTCAGGTTTTGTGATTTACAGAGTTGTTTGATTCATTTGCTTATAGTACAATCCTGCCACGTGCATTAAAGCACAGATACTTATTATTTCTTCATCTGCATTTTTCAAGTCTGATACTCTACTACATCCCTCGTATGTCAGCAGTTCTTAAATATTAAAAAAATAATGGTAAAACTCTGCTAAAAATGCAGGCGTCTACAACTATAATGGTACTAGATGGGAAGGAGACAATAGGGAAGGGGGAAAAGCAAACACGTTCATGTGCAGGGAATGTGGTTCAAGTCTTTGGATTTAAAAACAACTTCCCCAGAGAAAAAGGCTATAATGGAATTTCCAGAAAACTTCTTTGGCACAACAAAAGGACCTGAAAAGCCACAATCCAAACTTTTGAAAACTACAGCTATCCAGTGCTATAAATGATGATCAAAGCAGTCGCAGGGAGGAGGATGAGGGTGTATTCCATTCGGCTACAGTTGGTGGCACAGCCTCTTTAGCTGTTGGTGATCAGTATACACCATGGAAGTATGAGGTGTGATCCGAAGGACAGGGGTAGAAAAGCACTGAACATATTACCTGTCTATATCAGTAACAGGGCTTCCTGGCTAGGGAAATTTTCTAAACAGTAAAATGACTCCAGGAAAGATCTTTCTCCATTATTCAATGTGGCAGAATTAAAAATTTAAAAAAAGATTTACAAGTAGATATAGTGAAAACAGAAAATTATAAGGCAGAGAACACAAAAGTATCAAGACAATGCTATAGGTTCAACAATATTCCATGAGGCTAGAAAACCTGTTAACTCTGAAAGCCCTAGCTAAATATCACTCTTGGTTATAAATCACTTATATGACCATACATTGAAACCTTTCTTTCCACGTACTGAAGAATTCTACATTTAGCCTTTAAGCATTCTGCATTTCTTTGCCAATCTTGTAGCTGAGTATCTTGTTCCAGTCAATTTTGGTGTGGGTAACTGGAAGCTGCCAGTGCAAGGCCTTGAATGTGGTGTCTGACATTGTTTGATAGTTTTCACTAACTGCTGCCTGATATTCATTTTCTGCATGTTCTATGATTTTCATAAACTCATTGGCAGTTTGAAACAGTTACTGAATCCTGTACATCTTTATGACTAACCAATTGAACATTGCCATCTTCATAATAGTGTACCTGAATCTTAAGTACTACAACCACCTGGACTGTAGGTGGTGTGATGGTGAACCTCCATTCTGATCTCCAACAAACATTCCGGAAGTTTTTAGGCTGAAACTGGTAGCTTTCAACACACACAATAATGGTCTGCTGCACATCTATAGTTTTAGCATAAATAGTACAGAAGCCATTGGAATAATGATCTTTAACATAAGCCCTTAAAGTGCTGTCATAAGAGTCTCTCCAAGACTTCAGACCTCCATCTGCTTTCTTTGGCTGGGGTTCACTTACTTCTTTCCGTAAGTGATCAAACTTAAAGGAAATTTTGTTTCTTAGATCTAAAAATCTGCTATTACCCAGGTCACCATGTTCTGTAATTAAGCCCTGATCTTCACATCCTTCTATCTTCACAGGTGCGAACTGATCCATGTTATACTGGGCAAATGCATGTGCTACCCCTTCCCTGATGAGACTGTCATTAGTAAGCAGTAGCTGAACATGGTTGGATACTTCAGTACATTCCCCGGGGGGTACATAAGTGATGAATTTAGCAGCTATGTGTACCTTCTCCTCATCTGACACCCAATCGTCAAAGCTGACCAACTTGGGCTGCTTTGGCCCAGCCTAGTTAACTTTTAAAACCAACTGCTAAAAAAGCTAGAAGTAACAAATATTGAACTATTGAGTTGATTGTTGTCCATCTGTTACAATGGAATACTATGTGGCCATCACACGCCAAGACACTCTAGGAACATAAGGGGCAAAAAGACGTTTTGGTGAGTGTGAGAATATATGCTCAGAGGCACAAGAGCCAGAGACCATGGCTGCCTCACGGGAGGAGAGCTAGGGGCCTGGAGATAATGAGGAAAGAGATTGATTTTTTTTCTCAATGCCCCTTATAACTTTTAGATATTTATCATGTATATATTATCATTCAAAACAGTACTTCTTTTAAAAATTAAAAATTAAGCTCAGCTTTAAACCTGTGAGATTCATTCCTCACACACAGGCTGCTTGGCCCAAATACACTTGAAGTATGCAACAGCCTGGTGATGTCACGAATGCTTCTATAGAAAATGTGCATGTCCCAGTCTGAGTAACAGGGGCAAGAGCCCCGGCCCAGACTGCTGCCAGAGTTTGGGGAAAAGGCGGGAGAGTGAGGGTGTGGAGCCAGGACATCTTCACTGTGCTGGGATAACAAGCAGCAATCAGATGTACAATGAACTATCGCCCAAGAAAGAGGGTGAAATAAAGGTATTTTTAGACCAACTAAATCTGAGCTTGTTGCCAGCAGAACTTCTCTAAAGTTCTGAAGTACATCCTACATTCTGAAGGATGTACACAGGCAGCAGAAAAGTGTCTGAGATGCAAGAAGGAGGGAGCAGAGTGTGGTGAACCTGGGGGTACAGTGGGATTTGTCATGGAGTGGTGGGGGTCCGAGGGCAACTCACCCCTGAGCTACCTCCTGCAAGTAACTGAATCTCTTGAGCCTCAGCTTCTGTCTTTAGAATGGAGAATGTAATGGTAACTACCTCACAGAGGTGTGAGAACTAAACAACATGACCCTCGTAAAGTGCTGACACAGAGGACAGGGCAGGCAACAGCAAGTACTCAATAGATGCTCCTACTTTTACTCATCTTTATGATTATGACACAGCTTCTGAAAATACTGAAGATGCCTGTCAGAAAAAATTAAAAGTTGCATCCAAAGCCCTCATATTAATGGAAAAAATAAAATATATGTAAAAACACTGTCATTAGGAAAATCCTAATAAATAACTACATATAATTTAAAAATAGAACAGAAAAAAGGGAAACTTGGGGCTTTCAGTTAAAGATGGCAGATGAGACACATTCGTGTAGATTTGTACCCTCATGAAGACCACTCAATAAAACACAAGTAAAATTCTGTTCTCTTGTTGAAGCCAAGAGAAAGAGAATATGAGAAGAGACAAAAGAAACACACTTAGAAAGCTGGAAAACAGTGGAGAGTGATATCTGACTTGGCAGACCCAAGACACCAAATCCTAAACTGGCAGCCAGGAAAGCTGGGGAGCAACCCTGTCTCCATCACTGCAGCCCATGGCTCAGGAAGCTGCAGACCAGGTAACTCAAGAAGCAGCTGAAGGTCCATTTAAGAAGACAGTCACTCCCAGGCTCTCCTCCCTCTCCCAGGCCCCCAGGTGTCCATCCCTCCACAACAGGCATAAAACTGGAGGGATGGTCTCTGGATTGGAGGACAAAAAGGGGGTGCCAGCACAGCTAGTAATGTGGTACCACGTGGTAATAACAAGGATTAAGTTAAACTCATTGGATGCTGGGACCTCCAGCCCTGTAAGTAATGTGCCCCCACCCCCCAGATGATGTCACGACACACATAACTTCCAGGGATGAATTAGAAGACTCTTCCTAGAGCTCTGACCAGCCCCAGAGGAAAGACCCAGACAAAGTGACACTGAAGGAATAGGAAATAGCTCACCCAGGTCATCCAACTGCAGAGACCAAGTAGATAAGCTCTGCCATGTGTCACAGCTTTCAGAGCAAATGTGAGTGGTCAGTGAAGGTCAACAGACATTCAAGGAAAATATTTAATATTAGAGATCATGTTGGAATAAAGAGACTGTGGGGAGAAGAAAACATTTTTTAAAAATCCTGTAATTAATATCCTCAGAAGGATGAACAAGATACAGTAATAAAGAAATGTTCAGAACAATCAATGAACGCATAAGTAAATAGAACAACAAATTGATGTTTTCCTCTTTCCTCCTTCCTCTCTCTTTCTAAAAATCAATCAATAAAATTTTTTAAGTAAATATTCAAAGACCCCAAAAGAGAGCTGTAGATGATTATGTATATGATAGTAGAAATGGTAAACTCATCAGAAAGTTTAGAAAATAAAGTTGAGGAATTTTCCCCAAAAGTAAGGAAAAAAGACAATAGATGGAAAAAAGAAAAGTAGATCAGGTTTAATATTCAAACAACAAGAGTTCCAGAAAGAGGAACAGAAAAAACAGTGGGGAGGAAATCAAAGAAATAATTTAAGACAGTTTCCCCAACCTGGAAGAAATGAGATTGAAAGGGCTCCCCACCCAGCACAAAAGGAGAATGCTCTACGCCAGGACACATCAAATACTGGGGATTAAGAGAAAATCCCAAGTTTGCACTGAGCAAGGAAAAAACAGGCTTCCTGCAAGAACTCAGAACAGCGTGGAATTTCTCAACAGTACCTATGGATACTTGGAGGCCAGGAAGCAATGTCCTCAAAACTCGAATTACATACCCAGTAAAACTATTACAATTGAGAGTAAGGGTGGAATAAAGGTATTTTCAGACATGAAAGGTTTTTAAAATTTCCCTCCCACATATCTTTTCTGTAGAAGCTACTGAAGGATGGACCCAATGCAGATTAAGGCTACAAACTGAGAACTGGGATACAGGAAACTGGGAATTCAGAAAAAAAGAGAAAAAAGGACCCTCAGCATGATGGTGAAGGAAGACACCAAGATAAAGAGCTGTAGCAAAGCTAAAAATCAACCGGTCCAGCTTGGAATGGGTGGTAAAGCTCTGAAGTAATTTTTTTCACGGAGTTGAAATATTTTTGCATTTATAGACAGAAGCAGAATTTGAGGGTTAAGTGATATGAATATAGAAACACATAAAAAATAGGAAATTAATTTTCTTCAGGGAAAGTGAAAAGTTTTACAGTAAGGAAAAAGTAAAAGGCTTAGCTATAAGGAACATTATGTTTTCGAAACAATATACACCCTGTTCTAGCCCAAATCAGGGAATAACTCTATTGGGAGCATGGACAGATAGCATACATGTCTGTGGAACTGGTAAAGTCTGAAAGAGCTAAAGCCTCATTCTCTGTGGTGAGAGATCAAGAAACAATGTCAAAGGTAACAAATCCAGAACAACCAACATAAACATGTCATTTAGAAATATAGTTGTAAATAAAAGGGAGCTGAAAAGGGGAGGAGTGGGCAAGGAAGGAAAATTAGAAATGGGTATTTTTTTAAACAACAAGCCTTTAAGACCATTAAATTACATGCATGTAAAGTTTTGTGGTTTTTTTAAAATCTTCACCCAAGGATGTGTTTATTGATTTTGAGAGAGAAGCAGGGAGAGAGCAAGAGAGAGAGAAACATCGATGTGACAGAGAAATATCGATTGGGGAGCAAACCTGCAACCTAGGTATGTGCCCTGACCAGGAATTGAACCCACAACCTTTAGGTGTATGGGACAATGCTATAACCAACTGAGCCACCCAGACAGGGCTCTGCATATAACGTTTTGAGGAAAATAAAAACCAAGATTAAAAAAAAGAAAACCTACATTCTTAAAACTTCAGAAAGTCAAGTATTAAGATATATTTTTCTCTTAGAACAAACTGTAGGGATATAAAAGGAGCAGGTTAGCAAATGTTAAAATAAAGGACAGAGATAAGACATTCTACAATGAATACATTTCTGGGTGTCTCTGAACTTGTTAATGCAGCAGTTCTTATTCCTCATATTCTACAAACCATGAACTACAAATTCTGCAGATTGTTTCAGACTTCTTACAAACCATCTCTCATCAAGAAAGGACATTTAAAATATTAATTTAGATTAAAAGAACTTAATAAACTGATGAACAGAATAGATGCAATGACATGGAAGCATAGATCAGACTAACGAATGTCAGAGGGATGGGGGGAGGTAGAGGAGGAGAGAGTAACCAAAGAATTTATATGCATATATGCAAAACCCAAGGACAGGGACAAAGGTGGGGAGAGGGACTGGGGAGGGGGATGGGTCGGGGTGGAATGGGTCACTGGGGAGAAAAAGGGACATCTGTAATATTTTAAACAAAAATAAAATAAATAAAATTTTAAAAAATAAAAATAAAATATTAATTTAGATTAAAACAAAAGTGAAACAGAATTTGAATCTCACCTTCCACCTTCCCCAGCAACTGCAATTGCTTCCTTAGCAAGCCTCAACGCAGTTTCCTGATTGTACCAAAACTGGCTCAATTGCTGTAACAGAGGGATGAGTTCAAATCATTTTAAAATTAGCATAAATTTGGTTCCTTTAAATTAAACATGTGCATATATTTAAAATTTTTCTTTTCATTTTAAAACCAATTTTTGGAAAGTTATTTTAAATTAATAGAAGGCCCGGGATCCAAAATGGCAGAAGTAGATGGAAGTTACACTCAAGTCCTTCTAGGACCACACTGGAAGTAAAATTAAATTATAGAACAATTGCCCGGCTGGCGTGGCTCAGCGGTTGAGTATCAAACTATGATCCAGGAGATAGCGGTTCAATTCCTGGTCAGGGCACATGCCTGGGTTGCAGGCTCCATCCCCAGTAGGGGGAGTGCAGGAGGCAGCCAATCACTAACTCTCTCATCATTGATGTTTCTATCTCTCTCTCTCTTCCCCCCTTTACTCTCTCTGAAATCAATAAAGACTAATTTTTAAAAATTTTTAGAAAATTATAGAACAATCAACCTGAATAACAAACTGAAGACTAGCTGACGATAAGTCTTATAACCATGGATTTATAAAACAGCCACATAAAGACTGGTAAGAAGGGCAGAGACACGAAAAGGGCTGGCCCCTACCACACATACTCAGTCCCAGCCAGAGGCAGCCACCAACTATGGATTGCTTTGTAACTCCTAACAGGCAGCTCAGGCCACAGGCAGCATCTGACATTGACCTGGACCAGAGTCTCTCCCAAGAGGCCCCAGAACAAACACAACTGGGAACTGGCTTCAGATCACCGAAGAGCACTACTCATTTAGCTTCACAAAAGGCACACCCAAAGGAAGATGTCGACAAGCACCAGACCCTACGGGGCCAAATTCTGTTTCATGGGGTCAGCCCCCTGCCCAGCAGCTCATACATTGTGGTTGGGGTCAATCCTCACAGTCAGCCAGGTTGAGGGTGAACCCCACCCACGGATGGGCAACAAGCAATCAAGACAACTATAAAAGGAGGGCTCATATAACCCGGGCAAGGGACACTTGTGGAGCACCCAGCTCAGGTGATCAGGGAGACTTCACCACTGGGCCCAACAGGATACGTACTACATAAGGCCACACTACCAAGACTGGCAAATATAGCAGATCTACCTAATACACAGGAAAAAAAATACAGAGAGGCAGCTAAAATGGGGAGAGAAAGAAATATGCCCCAAATGAAAGAACAGGAGAAATCTCCAGAAAAAGAACAATAGAGGCAAGCAATCTACAAGACATCCAGTTCAAAGCAATGGTTATAAGGATGCTCAAGAAATGTAGGGGAAGAATGGATGTACTCAGTGAGAAATTCAACAAAAAGATAGTAAGCATGAAGAGGGAAAGAAAAACCATAAAAAAAAACCAATCAGAAATGAAGACTACAATAACTAAAATGAAGACTACACTAGAAGGAATAAACAGTAGGTTGGATGAAGCAGTGATCGAATCTACAATCTGGAAAAGAAGGTAGCAGAAAACACCCAATCAAAGCAACAAAAACAAAAACAATTTTTTAAAAATGAGGATTGTATAATGGAATTCTGGGACAACATCAAGTATAACAACATACCTGTCATAGGGGTACCAGAAGGAGAAGAGAGAGAACAATGGACTGAAAACCTATTTGAAGAAATAATGACTGAAAACTTGCCTAACCTGGTGAAGGAAAACAACACACAAATCCAGGAAGCACAGAGTCCCAAACAAGATAAACCCATATAAAGACATACCATAATTAAAATCCCAAAAGTTAAATACAAAAACGGAATCTTAAAAGCAATAAAAGTTAAGCAGTTAGTTACTTACAAGGGAGCCCCCATAAAACTGTCAGCTGATTTCTCATCAGAAACTTTGCTGGCAAGAAATATACAAAGTGGTCCGGCCAGGCCTGGCTCAGCAGTTGAGCATAGACCCAGGATCCAGGAGATCGAAGTTCAATTCCCAGTCAGGGCACTCGCCTGGGCTGCAGGCTTGATCCCTGGTCAGGGGCCTGCAGGAGGCAGCCGATCAATGCCAACTCTCTCATCATTGATGTTTCTGTCTCTCTGTCTCCCTCTCCCTTCCTCTCGCTGAAATCAATACAGAGAATCTTTTTTTTTAAAGAAAAGAAATATATGAAGTGATAAAAAGCAAGAACCTACAACCAAGACTACTCTACTCATGAAGGCTATCATTTAAAACTGAAGGAGCCCAGCTGGGCATGGCACAGTGGTTGAGCATCGACCTAGGATCCAGGAGATCACAGTTCAATTCCCGATCAGGGCACATGCCCGGGTTGCGGGCTCAATCCCCAGCAGGGGGTGTGCAAGAAGCAGCCGATCAATGACCCTCTCATCGTTGATGTTTCTATCTCTCTCTCTCCCTCTCCTTTCGTCTCTCTGAAATCAATAAAGATATATTTTTTAAAAAAATATTGAAGGAAACTAGCTCTGGCTGGTGTGGCTCAGTGGTTAGCACATCAGCCTGAGAATCAAAGGGTTGTGCGTTCGATTCCTGTCAAGGGCACATACCTGGGTTATGGGTTCAATCTCCTGCCCTGTTGGAGTTCATGCAGGAGGCAACCAATCAATGTGTCTCTCTCATATAGATATTTCTCTTTCTCTCCCCCCATCCTTCCCTTCCTTCTACTCTCTCTAAAAAATAAATGGAAAAAATATTCTTGGGTGAGGATCAACAACAAAAAAAATAAACATATTTTTAAATAATAAAATTGAAAGAAAATAAAAAGCATTACAGACAAGAAAAGTGAAAGTTCATTAACACCAAGCCAGTATTACAAGAAATGTTAAAGTGACTTCTTTAAGACAAAGAAAGAAAAAAAAAAAAGGAGGAACATAAATATGTATAATAAAAATGGCAATAAGTATGTCCCTAAAAATAATCACTTTAAATGTAAATGGTTTAAATGCTCCTATCCAAATACACAGGGTAGCTGACTGGATAAGAAAATAAGACCCATATATGTGTTATCTATGGAGAGCCACTTTATTTTCTTATTTTATTTCATATCTTATTTTACTCTATTTATTTTACTTTATTATTTTATTTATTTTACTTTACCTTACTTTAATTTACAGTTTAGTTTTTAGTTTAGTTTTAGTTTAGAGAGTTTAGTTTAGTAGAGTTTAGTGTTTAGTTTAGTTTAGTGTTTAGTGTAGTGTTTAGTGGTTTAGTGGTTTGGTTTAGTTTAGTTTAGTTTTTTAGTTTAGTTTAGTTTAGTTTAGTTGTTTAGTTTAGTTATTTTTCAATCCTCACCCAAGGATATTTTTCCATTGCTTTTCAGAGAGTGGAAGATAGAGAGAGAGAGAAACATCTATGTGAGAAAGATATATCAACTGGTTGCCTCCCACACATCCCCCAGCTGGGGCCAGGGATTGAGCCTGCAGCTGAGGTAAGTGCCCTTGGCTGGAATCGAACCTAGGACCCTTCAGTCGGCAGGCCAACATTCTAACCACTGAGACAAACCAGCAAGGGCTGGAGATCCATTTTAGATCAAAAGACACACAAAAACTAAAATTAAAGGGATGAAAAAAATATTTCACAAGCCCAGACAGTGTAGCTCAGTGGTTGAGTGTCAACCCATGAAATTGGAGGTCATGGTTCAATTCCCAGTCAGGGCACATGCCTGGGTTGCAAGCTCAATACTCAGTAGGGGGTGTGCAGGAGGCAGCCAATCAATGATTCTCTCTCATCACTGATATTTCTATCTCTCTCCCTCTCCCTTCCTCTCTGTGAAATCAATAAAAATATATTTAAAACAAACAAACAAAAAATATTTCATGCAAATAGAAACAAAAAGCTAGGGTAGCAATACTTACATAAGACAAAATAGACTTTAAAACAAAGGATATAAGAAGAAACAAATGCACCCAATGAAGAAGCACCAAAATTCATAAAGCAAATATTGGCAGACATAAAGAGAGAATCAAGAGTAATATAGTCATAGTTGGGGACTTTAACACCCACTGACATCAAGGGACAGATCTTCCAGACAGAAAATCAATAAGGAAACAGCTGCATTAAAAACACACTAGAACAGATAAATTTAATTGATATGTTCAGAGCATTTCACCCCAAAGCACTTTTAAAGTGCACATGGAGGGGAGATTCCATGATGGTGGCAGATTGAGTAGAAGCTACACTGACACTCTCCCAGGACCGAACTGGATTGAAAACTAAAATACAGAAAAACCATCCTGAATAGTCAACTGAAGACTAGCTGGAGAGCACCCTCATAACCAAGGACCTAGTGGAGACCACACAGAAATTGGTAGAAAGTACAGAGGCATGAGAGGGCTGGATGGGCCTCCACAGGCAGTAGCTAAAGGTCCAGGGGGATATCTCAGCTGTGTGGGATTCCCACAGAGAACTATGGGTCCTAAACCCCAAGACGGGCTTCCCAACCCAGAGCATCAGAACTGAGAAAGGTGCCCACATAACATCTGACTGTGAAAAGCAGCAGAGTTTCTGTCTGTCAGAGAGAGATGGATGGAAATGCAGATACACTCTTAAAAGGTCAATGCACAAAGTTTTGTGTGCAGCCACTTACCTTGGGCTCTGGCAGAGGGAGGGCAGAGTGGACTAGAACTGTGTGAGAAGAATCCAAGGGTGGTGGCTCGGAGGATAGAGATCAGAGGGCAGCTATCTGATTCCTGTGCTGAGTAATTCCCCCATACCACAGAGGACATCTTTCTCAGGCAGAGATTTACTGTCCAAGCAGCTTTTGCCTGGGGGGGGGGAGGAAGCAATTGCCCCACCTGTTGGAAAACCTCTGGCCCCACTCTATGGAGTTTCTACAGCCTGAGGCTAATTAAGAGACGGATAACAATCAACTGCTGGGTGCTTTGAGACTTTGCCTGATTTGCTTCTGGACCCAGGGTTTGGAAAAGCAGGCCTTGGTGTGCATCTTTGTCCTTTACAAATGCACCCAGCCCAAACAGAGAGAACTACAAACTGTGGAGTGCAGAAAACTTCAAACAGTGTACTCAAGGCCCGTCACAAACAGCGCCTGTCACTAGCCTGCACTAGAGACCATACAAAAAACTGGCAGTCCTAGCAGATCTACCTAAAACATAACAACAAATCCAAATGGGCAGCCAAAATGGGGAGATGAAAAAAACAAGCCCCAAATGAAAGAACAAAAGAATTCTTCAGAAGAAGAGATAAATGAAATGGAAATAAGCAATCTATCACTTAGAGAGTTCAGAATAATGACTGTAAGGACGCACAACAGCATGAGAAAAGAAATGGAAACTATGAAGGAAATTAAGGACATAGTAGAAATAAAAAACACATTGAAAGGAATAAACAGCAATTAAGGGAAGGTGAGGACTGGATCAGCAAATTAGAAGACAGGGTAGAAAAAAATCACTCATTCAGAGATCCAAAATGAAAAAACAAAAAACAGGAGGACAGTTTAAGGGAGCTGTGGGACATGAAACATAACAATATTCACAACATAGGAATGCCAGAAGGAGAAGAAAGTGAGTGATGGATAGAGAACCTGGTTGAAGAAGTAATAACATGAAACATCCTTAACCTGATGAAGGAAAAATTCGCACATATTCAGGAGGCACAGAGTCCCAAGCAAGAAGAACCGAAAGAGGCCCACACCCAGACACATTATAATTAAAATGCCAAAAATACAAGACAAAGAGAGAATCTTAAAGGCAGCAAAAGAAAAGTAATCTGTTACCCACAAAGGAGCTCCCATAAGGCTGTCAGCTGACTTCTCATCAGAAACTCTACAGGCCAGAAGGGAATGTCATGAAGTATTCAAGGTAATGCAAAACAAGGGTCTGAAACCAAGAATACTCTATTCAGCAAGGCAATCATTCAAAATAGATGGAGAAATAAAGAGCTTCCCAGACAAGAAAAGGCTAAAAGAGTTTATCACCACCAAGCCAGCATTGCAGGAAATGTTAAAGGGACTGCTGTAATAAGAGGGAATAGAGAGAGAGAAACATAGGTGTAAAGAATTAAAATGCAAAAAAAATCACTAAATCAGATGGATTTAATTGACATTCACAGAACATTTCACCCCAAAGTTGCAGAACATACATTCTTCTCAGGTGTACATGGGTCATTCTCAAAGACAGACCACATGTTAGGACACAAAACAAGTCTCTACAAGTTCAAAAAGACTGAAATCGTATCAAGCATCTTCTTGAATCACAATGGCATGAAATTAGAAATCAACTGCAGTAAAAACACTCAAAAACATTCAAACACATGGAGGATCACATGATCTCACTAATATGTGGACTCTAATGAACAAAATAAACTGAGGAACAAAATAGATCCAGAGAAGTAGAACAGACTGAACAATCTCAGAGGGAAGGCAGGGGTAGGGGAGTGGGTGAGATTAATAAAATAATTTATATGCATATATGCATAACACAGACAATAGCTTGGAGAAAGCCTGGGGGCGGCGCAGAGGAGGCAGACGCAGAGTGGAGAGGAGCAATGGGGAAAAAAATGGGACATCTGTAATACTTTTAACAATAAAGATAAATTTTTTAAAAAAGAAATACAAATTAGTAGTCACAAAATACTAATGGGGATGTAGATTACTGTATAAGGAACATAGCCAGTAATACTCTAATATCTAGGCACAGTGCCAGGGGGATACTTGAAATATTAGAGGGAGCACTATGTAAACTATATGATTGTCTAACCACCATTCTGTACCTGAAACTAACACACTGAATGTAAACTGTAATTGAAAAATAAAATTTAAAAAGAAAACCAACAAATAATTTAATAGAAGGCCCTACTTAATTTTGGAATTGATGCACTGGGTACCACTGGCTGCTTTTATCACAGGAGACAAACAGTCAATGTGTCTCCTGACGGAAGAACACATCCCCATCTGTGTATTAGTCCTGCCAAAAACATTAAACCCAAATCTGATTAAGCCTCTAGGTTCAACTATCAACTATTAGGATTACAAATACAGAGGACTGAAGAACATATTGAAGGACATCAGAGATGCCCAGTCCCTACCCCTTTTTTGTGGCCTTCTGTTTTTACGTGAGGAATGTTTCCTGAATTACTTGTTTTTCCCTCAGGGGCAAGTTGGTTGTTTTTCATCTTGCTCCTTCTGTTCACACTGATTATTTCCTTTTAAATTTCTACTGATCCTTAATTATCTACTCACATTTATAACTTAAGTTTTATTTTAATGGAAAAAGTGGATTCCTCTGCAATGCAATAGGCACATTTCTTCCCTGAAAGGCAGGGATGTTGCCAGTGGTGTGTAGACAAACACATATAGACAAACAATGGACTAGGTCCAGAACAGGTTCTACACCAATATTTTCTGATAGATATGGAATGCATTTACTCACCCAGTTCTCTTCTATTCTCCCAACACTGTATTTGTCATCCCCACCTGGGTCGGTGTGTTGATTCTTCTCAGCATAAAATTCCTGGAGAGCTGTTAAGGCGTGGGAAGAAAGCTGGGGGACATCGTCATCTTCCAAGTCACCCATCTCACAAATTGTCTACAACCTGCAGATAAATTTAAAAAAGTGCTTCTTCCCATCAAGTAACAATTTTATAATATTTATCTCACAGCAAACATCCAAACTGAAAGTGAGTTTTTTAAAAAAGTAAAACATATTTAAATGAGATCAAACATCTACAGAGGTTGCCCACTGAACTACAAATTTAACAAATGCAGTTTTCTTTTAAAGACAGTTTTTACAAATGAGATTTTCAGATTTTTATGATTCCTTGCTGAATGAAAATTTTACCATTAAGTATTTAAAGACATTTTGCTTTCTTCTGATACCCCAATGGCCATGTGCAGACATTTCAGTCAATTCTATGTACCAGAGATCTTTTTATACTTGAAAATCACTGTTCAGATGATCTAAGGCTCCTGGGTGTTGACAGGGTAAGTAAAGGACTGATTTTGGGGTTTTTTTAGAGGAGGAGCATAGAAGGAGATATGGAAAATAAAAGGGATGACTAGGAGAAAGAAAAGAAAAGTAAAACAGAGGAGGGAGAAAAGAATGGTGTTTTTGTAGGAACTGATGATGGCCAGGCACAATTACTTCCTGGGATACCACCCAAAGTTAGCCAAGCTGCAAAATTTAGGCATAGCTGTGAAGACATCCCTGTCTGCCCAAGACTCCTGACAACAACCGCAAGTTGAGGGGCTCCCCAAACCACCCTTGGTGTTCAGTAATTTGCTAGAAAGCCTCACAGAACTCACTAAGGACAAGTATACTCAGTTATCACAAAGAAAGGGTACAAATTAGAGCGTCAAGAAAGAGATGCACAGAGTCCCAAATGTCCCTCAGGAAGCTTCCATTGCCCTCAGGAGGCACTATCTTCCCAGCATCCATGTGTATCAGTGACCAGTTTGTATTGAGGCTTCATGGCATTACCACGAATGACTGAATTACTGCCCAACTGGTTGAAGTTAGTCCCCAGCTCCTGTCCCCAGGTTAGGTGATACAGCCTGAGGGCTCTCCATGAATAACAGAAATTCCTATCACAGGGGAAAGTGTTTACCTGTCAAAAGTCAAACCTCTATTTGGGTCAAATTCCTTATTACACAGGAACCAAACACATTTACAAATCAAGTTATTCTGAGCACAAAAACAGCACCCTATTTTTTAAAAAAACACTGTGTCTAGACCTAGTCAGTTTGGCTCAGTGGTTAGAGTGTCAGCCTGTAGACTGAAGGGTCCCAGGTTCAATTCCAGCCAAAGGCACCTACCTCTGATACAGGCTCAATCCCCGGCCCTGGTTGGCACATGAGCAAGAGGAAACCAATCAATGTGTCTCTCTCACATCGATGTTTCTATATCTCTATCTCTCTTTCCCCCATCCACTCTCTCTGAAAAGCAATGGAAAAAAATATCCTTCAGTGAGGATTAAAAATAAATTAAAAAACACTGTGTCTAAATTTTACAACAAGTGATGATGTGTTGAGTCAGCAAAAATTATTCAAGAGCTTTGTCATGCTGCTCCCTTCCTACTCCAAGATCTATGTGGGTGTATCTGATCCAGTCTTAGCCTTAGGCCCAAGACACCAAAGGCAACTGGAAAAAAAAGACTCTAACAGGAGAAATTCTCCAGGCCTAGGAGTATCCAAAAGGTGCAGAATAGCCATTTAAAATGAGAAATGCTTCTTGATGCTTTCTCCTTTTCAAAATAAAAAAAAAGCCAGACTTTCCACCTAAAATCCTACAAACAAAAACAAATCCTGGTATGTATTAATTACTGACAAACTAGTGTATTGTCATGAATCTCAAGAATGGGTAAATTACAAAGTTACAGAACACATATATTCCACTTACATGAAGTTCAGAACCACACGGGTAAAAGCAAGTGAATAAAAAATTCAAGGTTAAAGACAGTGGTTCCTTCTGGGAATGAGGGATGGGTTTGGAGAAGAATACACGTAATAATTTCTTAAATGTTTATTACAAATCAGGATAGACCTGTGGATTTGATTCTGTGAGTAAAAAGTGCCTGAAACAGCTTCCAAACAGTTTGATGCTTCTCCAGAGTACTGAAGGACTGAATGAGTCATTTTAGTCTACAGAGAAAAAAGAAAAAATTTTTAGGAAAGCATACTAGGAGCTATTAGGCCAGAAAATTTCCAAATGTAAATTCCAGGTTATGGTGTATGCATGCTGAACTGCAAACTGACTGAAAACTACTAGAAGGTTTCATTTTGGTTTGATATTTCAGAATTGAAAGTTCCTTTCATTTGGGAAAATAATTGGGCAACTATTAAAATCCAATGTCTCCTGGCAGAGTTGAAATGTACAAGCTATTCCTGATTAAAGCAGCATGGCCCTGCCTAGAAGAGCTGAAGAACAAAGTGTATGTGTGTGTCCATATAACATTCCTATAGACACACACATATATGTATATCCTTGATGTAGACAGGAATATCTGAATATTTATTTTATTAATACTGAGAAGCACTTTCCATAGGTGCATCTCTTGAGAAGGGCTTTCAAACTGCAGCTTGAAACCTGTCAGCAAGTCATTTAGAAATAAAACATATAAACAAAAAAAAGAAACCAGTTGACTTTAAGAAAACTGTCAAAGAGCAGTTTAAGAAAACTATCTTTCATGGTTGTAAAAAGAATTAAATTAATCCCTGGTTGGTGTGGTTCAGTTGGTTGAGAGTCATCCCATATACCAAAAGGTTGCTGGTTTGATTCCTGGTGAGGGCACATGCCCAGGTTACAGGCTGGGTCCCTGGCAGCGGTACGGGGAAGGGGACAACAGATCAATGGTTCTCTCTCACATCATTGCTTCTCTCTCTCTCTCCCCCTCTTCCTCTAGAATCAGTGAAAAACATATCCTTAGGATTTTTTTAAAAGTTTACTTTAAAGTTGACCAAATCCATTCTTTTAATAACTGTTCACTGAGGCACTACTTTGTACTAAGCATTCTCTTAGTGATGGGAATCAAAGTCCCTGTCCTCTTGGATTTCACTTTCTAGTGAGACAGTGAGACCATAAACAACAGAAATATATGCTGGACAATGATAAGATAAATGGAAGAACATCTGGAAAGTAGGGGCTGCAATATTAGCAATCGCTGACTGTTTCCTACATCACTGAAGTGAGTTCAAGAGTGCATAACTGTTAAGTGGAAAACACTGAAATGCTGACATCACTAAAAATTAAATTTAGTTTTAACATGCTAATTTTTTTACTTGTGACTACTTTATCATATCTTTAGCATTATGTAAAATTTTCTAAGTGGGTCTGTGAAATTGCTGTGAAAGATTTTCAAGTCCAAAAGAGTTGACAAGTGCTGTATTATATTAAACTGACAGCAAGCCTTATGTGGCACTCACAGAAGAACCAGGTAAGATTTCCCCCGCAGGGGAACATTTGGCAAAGTCTAGAGGTATTTTTGGTTGTCTTAACTAGGGAGGGAAGCTGGTCAACTCCATATAATTTATAGGAATACCCTCCACAAGAAAGAACTATATGACCCAAAATGTCAACAGTGCTAGGGGGTTGAGAAACTGCTCTACTGTGATGATGTGATGAACCTGCTATTAGAGGAGCTGCATTTAGTGCCATGGATCAGAGTCAAGTGCATGTGTGGGTGGAGGATGAAAGTGAGGCCACAGGTGGTTTACCTTAGCCTTGAGGGAGAGTACTGCAGAAGGAATAGCATGAAGATGCCGAAGAACAGCATAGTAAAGGGGCAGTCATGTGCAGCCTGGTCAGGGGTGAGCAGGCTCCTAATGGCCGGTACAGTCACTTTCTATTTCTTTACACAGCATCTGACTCAACATAACTAATGTAGTCTACAAAATAATGCGCAAAATTCTTCAATTTCCATATATCAACTTCGCTTAAAGCCATCCCTCAGTCCTCCACTGCATAAAATCCTACAGGCTCCCGCCCTGGCCGGTGTGGCTCCATGGTTAAAGCATGGGCCCGCAGACTGAAGGGTCGCAGGTTCCATCAAGGGCATATACCTCGGGCGTGTGCAGGTTCTCTCACATCGATGTTTTTTTCTCTCTCCGCCTTGTCTCTCCCCTTTCCACTCTCTCTAAAAATCAATGGAAAAAAATATCCTCCCGTGAGAATTAACAACAAAAAATCGTACAGGCTCCTACCACCTTCTCTGCAAGTGATTCTGGGGAGGCGGTGGGTGCAAAGGAAAGAGCATTAACTGGGGTTCTTCCCAGATTCCCAGTCACCTACAGAGAGGACCCCCTTCGAATCCCCGTGGGAAGCGCCCGCAGTCCCTCACTTCCTTCCCCTCCTTTCCTACAGGGATTTACCCCGCCTCCTAAAGCTCTACTCACGCTGTTTTAAACTAAGAAGTTAGAAACAAGTTGTGTCCAGTGAGACAGGATCATAAAGTCCAGTTCTGTCCTCCGCACCTGCGTAACCACAAGCAACCGCCTGGTCTCACGTCATCGCTGCGCGACATCCCCAAGCGTCCAGGCCCCTCCCTTGACCCTCTAATCCTCGACCCAGCACCGGACGCCACCACCTCCACATTGCTCTAGACCGCACAGACTTCTGCAGGGCGCCATCCACGCACTGTTCCTCTTCCCCAACGGAACCTGGAAAGTGGGAGCACAGCCAACCCCACGGCCACGCGCGTCCACTTACCACCACGCGTGCGCAGGCGCCTGGAGCTGGTGAGGGGAGTGGGCGGGGCCAGCCAAGCGGCGCTCGCGCGTGCGCACACCCGCTCAACCCGCGCGTTTTAGTTCCCGCGCTAGCGATGCGCAGGCGCTGACTTTGGAGGCGCGCTGTTCCCTTCAAAAATCGTAGGAATTCAATTAAAACGTTTAGGTTTTTCAAGCGAAATGCAAGAAACCTATTTGCTCTTGGTTAGGTGTATATTTCAAAGACATCTATCAGGGCTTCGTTGGTCTATATACTCAGTCTTATATGAGAAATCAAGACAAAAGTCCTTATAATGTTGATAGGAATCGAAAAATTTCTTAGCTTCTCCGCCATAATCAGATTTCCTTCCCGAACTCAACGTGGTTACTAGGTCCAGCCATGAGCATTTTTTCACTGGAGGTGACAGCGAAGGCGACATCTGGTCAGTGAGCAGACAAGGTAGAAGCTGTGTTCACGCTGAAATAAGGCCAGCTATTGATTTGGCAAATAATCTAATCATCAGGCAGCAATATTGCCCTATGGAAATGATTCCAAACGTGGGAGACTTGCCGTGAACCTCCTAGAACCGTCTGTTGAGGGCATTCCTTCAGTATATATTAAAACCTCTAGCAAAGTACCTGGCACATAACAGGCACTTGTTAACCCGGATAGTTACTAAATCATACTGATGCACTTATTTTCCATTCCGGAAGGCATTCAACCTGTATTATGTGTCTACCTTCCTTTCCTTTACCAACTTTATCAGGATGTTTTATATATTCTGCAGAATCGCCTTAAATCCTTCCTGGCATAAATTGAGGATATAAATAAATGACTTAGCTGCCAAATAATAGTACATAAAACAGGTTTGCAACTTGGGAAGTACCATAATTTCTATTATAAATACTGTTTCCTGGTCTGTAGCAACCCATGCTTTACTTCTTACTTTGATGTCTTTGAACTGATGAGAAGTCTATTAAACTAAGTATTTCAAAACCAGGTGTAACTTGGCAAAGGAACAGGAAAGAAAATATATAGAAGAAACTAAAAATCAGTAACATGAACCAAGAAACAGAACCAACTTTATGGCAGTATATTTTTCACAAAGGTGTAGCATTCCATACATTGGAGACTGCCCTGGCCTGTAACTTAAAAGCCATGATAAAGCAAATTCTTTTTAGTTTGAAACGGATCTTTTTAAACTTTAGAAGTTTTAATTGCTTTCATAGTATGTGAGATGTGATAATTACCTTCGTGTAATATGTTATTTTTTTATCATTAAAGTGACCAGGAAGTCAATAAGTTGTTATACCTCCACCAACAGTGCTTACTGCTCAGACAGCCTGCTCACAGTAATACATGAAGATTAAAATTTTCCTGGTGAGCTCTGCCAGCTTAGCTCAGTGGTTAAAGCACTGGCCTGTGGAATGAAGGGTCTCTGGTTCCACTCCAGTCAAGGGCATGTACCTGGGTTGCAGGCTTGCATGATTGAGGTGCATGCAGGAGGCAACCAATCGGTGTCGATATTTCTCCCCCCACCCTCTCTGAAAAAGCAATGGAAAAAATATCCTCTGGTGAGGATAAAAAAAATTTTCCTGGTTTGTAATTTAATGGTTTTTGCAAATCATAAAAAATTTAAGATATCAAAGGCAATTTG